CCCAGCCACACACAATATCCATTTGCATAGTGTATATTGTATGTCAGTCAGGACAAACTTTTTTTTTCCAAATGCAATTAAAATGCTATAGTAAGATGTTTGATTTTTAGTACAGGATTTGGGTTTTTTTCCCCAGTCCAAGATGGCAAACCCCCCCCCCCAAAAAAAGGAGCACTTCTAGGGGAAGGAAGAGGATTTTTGGCAAGTCATGGGTTAGGTGTGGGACTTCTGGTCCCAGACACTGATCAGGAGGAGGGGCACTGGTCAGGGTGGAGAGCTCCCCTTGAGGCCCTCAAAGTTGTTAAGTGGCCCTCCAGCTGAAATAACTGCCCACCACTGCTCTGAAATCTACTTTTACTCCATGCTCCCTCTTTCCAGAGACTAAGCATGGCATTCTGTAGGGACAGATCCCTTGTATTTAGCACTGCACAAGAGACTGAAAAATGAGAGGCATGTCTAGAATCCATTCCTAACAGACATCAAAATACAATGAAAGATGAATTGCTAGTGCTAACCATACACCTCTGAATTAGGATTCTAGCTGCAAGTCCCCTTTGTTGATGGAATCTCTCTTTCAAAGAAAACAACAAACAATCTCCCTGAAATATCACGCATCTGAAGTTGATTCAGTAGCCATAGTTTCTTCTCGGACACTCTAACACTAAAAATAATACTACCCTCCTGCCCATTATTGATATTACCACTGATGAATTCCCAGGAAAAAAAATTCAAAGGGTGGAACTAATTCTTACAAGAAATTTAAGGAAAAAAAAACAGATATTTATAATAATGCTGGGAAAAGAGCCATTAGAAAAGAAATAAGAGGCAAGAGTACTGCTGTTTTGGGGAGCTGATGTCAGTATTTTGGGAAATGTTCTGTAGAATAGAATGGTTAGTACTCCCTGGAAAAAGGCAAAATAATGTCCAAATCCAAGTAGAATTTTCAATTTGAACAGTTCTACTACTAACCTCTCTGGTATAAAATTCAACAACTTAATTCTGAAGCTATCCAGTATGTGTTTATTCATTGTGCCTACCCTGACTATTTTAGTGAACTTGAGCACAGATACAGTCAACTACTCTGAAGTTTTCATAAGCAGAATACAAGGTAAGTTCTCTTTGATGATATATGAGAAAACAAATTATAAAATATTTAAAAGAGAACTTCTACTTCTATAGGCTTGTGCTAGCATGAGCACTGAGCCTGCACTGGAAGAAAAGAAGCAAATATATTTGAAAGGGTGCCATAAAGAAAATGAAGAAACATTTTTTTCTTTGCTCCAGGAGGTGGGACCTGTGGCAATGGATTTAAAAACTGGGAAAGCAGATTTAGACCAAAACTAAGGGATAACTTTTTAACTGTACAGCCAAGGAGGACAATGGAACAAGTTACCTGGAAAAGTTGTAGATCTCTTCCTTGGAGGTTTTCAAAGGCTGGATAAGCCTCTATCTAGGATGGTTTAAAAATTGCAAGTTCTGGATCCTTGTACGAGCTAAGACTAGATGACTCTTGATGCTCCTTCTAGCTGTATGATTCTGTGATGCAAGTATTCAGGCATTAATTTCATAGCCTAATTATTTAGTAGCCAGGTGATAAAAATCAGTCTTTTCTGATACCAATTTAAGAGCAAGTCCTTCTTTAGCATCTTGACAGTCCAATTTACTACATAAAAAACAACTCCCTTGCTCACTTTGTGGCAAATGTCTCTTCCTATCTACACAAGTGTATTGCTTGAAAAAAAAATGCACGACTTAACTATTTAAATTGCTTTGTCATCATTGAAATGCAAATACATTTTAACAGTAACATTTCAATTAGTCAGAAATGGCCATCATCCAAATGCCTAACTGAAAAAAAAATCATCATAAAGTGCACTTGCACATAAACAACTCCTACCATTATCAAAGATATTACATGCCTTTGCTTTCCAACTGACTTTTTCTATAGTTAAGGATTTTTTAAATACTGTGTATTAGGTTCTGTTTATCTTCCCGTTGCAGCAAAGACCAAAAGCTGTCACAATGTGTCACTGACTGCTGTATTATGTAGTTTTAAACAGGATTTCTTCCAAGAGGCTAGATTCCTAGGACACATCTTTTAGCCTACAACAAAGAGAGGAGCAGAACCAGACTTCACAGATCAGGTCGGGATTTGTCATGCTCAGGTGCACAGGCCACCAATTAGACAACTTCCCAAAACAGAAAGGTGTGCCCTCATTTCATACCTGGGGGGTTCTGAAGAGGAATGGGATTAATGCTTTCCATGGACAAACCTGGTTTTGTCCCCCTCTCCAGCACAGGCAAGAAGACCTTCATAAAGGATTAGGATTTGATACAGAACTGATGCACCATACTGCTTTAACAGCATCAAATTTAGAGGATGCCACAGGCACTTTCCTAGCCATATAAATAAAAAGAAATGCTGTCTAAGAAAGCAAGATGGGGCACTGAGAATCTTAAGTTCTGGCTAGCTTTTCATTTATGCCACTGATGCTTCAGTGAAACACCTTGGAAAAAAAATATCAGTTCAGACATAAAAATGTGGGGAAGAACCCAAACCCTTTTATTAGAGAGATTCTAATTTATGCATTTTTAGCTGCTGTAATGTACTTGGTTAAAAAGTCCTTCAGTTTAGAAATGTGCATCATTTCTTTCATGGTGGTGTCTCTGCTTCTCAACTGGACTATTCCGTTTTCCAGAGTAGCATCAGTTATCAAGATTGTGAAGAGGATGCTCATCTCATCATACCTGCAAAAGAACGAGTGCACCCATTACAACATTATAGCTTTGGTGTACAATAGACAACACAGACTGGGGTTATGTTGTACTGTGTCCAATACACAGCATGTTGTACTGTGTTCCTTTCTCACTTTCATCACCTTGACCTTCTAGTTACAGTGCTACAAGTTATTAGGTTTCTTTGGAACAAAAGGGGTTTTATTTAGTAACCTATAATAGGAATATTTTTACTGGAGAAATAGTAATTCTTCTCCTGAAATTGTCTAATAGACAAGCTTTATTTTGAACTTACTAAACTGCTATATTAAAAATAGTATGTTTTTTGCTTCTTACTGAAAGCTCAATGAAAGTTAAGAGAAAAAAAACACAGATGACAAATTCATTCAACTTGTTATCATCCCTCCAAAGTGTAAGTTATGGACCAGTTCTAGGAAAGCTTAATGGCATAAATCACAATCACTTGTGCAGATAATCTGCTGATAGAGAATTATGCAACTGGTAAGAGTCTCAGTGAACAGTAAATAATTACTGTTTCAAATCACTTGCTTAAACATGAAATATAGAAGTAGGTCCACATGCAAAAACAGCTGTAAGCTTTTTTTTTTTTTTAAATATAGGTTTATTAATCATGTTATTAAACACCATTTTTCACAGGGACTTCCTCAAATGTTTTACTGTTTTCCACTCAAAAATACAACTAGTTTTAATATCAATGAGAGAATAGTGTACTGAAGTTCTTTAGTTAGTGAGCTTTGTGGTAATAAGCTCTCAAGCAAAACAAACACACCAACTACTGTTTTCAGACATTTTTTTCCTGTTCTCTGTGACTGGACAGAAGTTAAGCTAATTTTAGCTCTTTCAATTAAAGACATTTCTACCTGACCAATCATTTTATTTGCCAGACTGTGTTCCCTTACTTTGTGTAAAGTTGTTCCAAAGATGTCTGCATGGTTTCAAGATATCCAGGCCACACAGAAATTCCATTTTCTATCAATTCGGTGAATAGTCCCTAAGCTACCTATATATACACACACACACACACACACATATAAAAAGGGAGCATTTGATGATTTGAAATATTCAGAGAGACACATCTGTTTTACACAAAAGCTCAAATATAATGTTTAATACAATATTGATTTATATACAGTAATACACATACTCAAAGGAGAGCAATAATACTAACATCTCAATTTTCATATATGCCTTACCACTCAAAAACTATGCTCAGATGGATCTTTTCCATGCTTATTTCTTAAAAAGACAATTAAAAAAACATTGTTTCTATCTGAAGATTGTGTCTATGTTACTAAAATGACTAAAAAGGATTAGAGATATTTAGGGTACACATTTAATACCTAAATATATTTAAGTAAGCAAACACGTACTACCTGGCATCTAATACCTAAAACTAGAAATAGCTAAATTAAATTCTTATTTTTGTTTGCTCTGAATACAGTTAATTGTATTGTTCTATAAATACAGTTTTATAAATACTGCCAGAGACACCATGTATTCAAGCCTGAAGGATTCTCTATTACTCCCCCAAACCTCATTTCTATTAAAAACAAAAAACACTGGAAAGATTCCCTAACAACTAAGCCCTACCCCCTGCAGAGTAGCAAAGCAGCAAAATTTCTCCTAACTGGACCAAGAAATCCAGAACCCACCACAAGAATTATAAAGCGAGAATACAGAGAATTGCACAACCCAATGTTTAGTCATTATATACCTGTCTCAGATCCATTGCTGGGCCTCTTCCCATGTCCATGGCCACTTTGATTGGCGTTAAGCAAGGGTGAAGCTTAAGCACCTGGAAACATCAGAAGAAGCAACAGGTTACTGCATAAGGACACTAAATGTATAAAACAGAAATAAAAAGAGTATTATGAGTACTTATATTTTTACTATTAAAAAAAATGACTGCTTTGCTGAACAAACAATATATATTCCACATGTACAAACATGTTTTTACTATACAAAATCCTAGGGTAAGATAAAGAGTCAGATGCCATGCACCACTAAAGTTGTCTATACTACAGAAGAGCCTTTGGTGGTATAAGTATGCCACCACAGCCCCTAGTAGAGACAAGGTGCATGCTGACAAAAGGTGTTTTCTACCAGCATCACTATACCATCTCCTACAAATAACATAAAAGGCAATAAAAACTATTTTCTGTCAGTGCAGCTGCCGCCACAACATGATAGCTGACTGAGCAATGCTGGTGAAGGTCTGTGATTTTTTTCAGCAGAATTCTGTGGTTTAGACCTGGTCTCAGTGGCTTGCTATTTTCATAATCCTTTATCTGCAGGCATGTTAAAAGGAATCACCTGTCTTTGTGAAGTTTTCTTGCCTAAAGAACTCTCAGCCAACTGCAAGGAATCACAGAGATATGCTAACACTCCTTGGTCCAGATTGCCAGTCACAGAGAGCACATGAGGAACAACAGTCTTCCTTCCATCTCGGGCCTGCAAGAAAAAAAATTAAAATATCAACCCTCAAAAACAATTTTACTTAAAATGTGCATGCACACACACACACACACACACACACTGACCCCAAACTCAGCTCCCTTGACCTATTCAAGACCAAATACATATTCAAAAAACTACCAACCACATCTATAGCTTTACAGTAGATAGCTGTAACCAATTTAATTATAGCAAGAAACAGGAGAAATACCAAACCCTTGCTAAAATAAATATCTCCCCCGACCCTTCCCAAGAAGACCAGCCTTACAACTTGCCCTGTGATCAGCATATTGGGGCTATTTCATGCCCAGGCAGGAACTGGGCTCCTTGGAAAATCTTCTCATCAGCAACCATTATACCAGAATGTCAACATGAGCAACCTTTGCCAATCTCATATGTGGCAGAGAAAGAGGAAAGCTCTTGGATTCTGCATGTTGACACTAAATGAAGATGTATTCCACAGGTGGACAAGTAACTAGTGCAGATCTCTAAGAATTACTGTAACACTGAACTGAAAACTCTGAACTGGAAAAGCGCAAGATCTTTGTCTTTCTCAAGGAAGGTATCTCTAGTAGCAGAACCCATAGCTTTTTGTCTATCTGTTGAATCTCATAGCTACCTGCTGAAGAACAAGTATTTGTATATAAAGCTTTCCAAGTAGAAAAGTGTAAACATTATACTTAACAGATACTCTTAGCACCTGTAGCCAGAACTTCTTTTTAAACATATTAAACCTATTAACAGGCTGAAATTCAAAGTTCATAAAATCAAATAGCAATAAGGCTTAGAGAAACTTTCCCCAAACATCCAGAACTCTTCCCCCCACCCTTTAGTTTGCTAGAATTGCAAGCTGCTATCCTGATTTTATCCACATAAGATCCCTTCACTTGCTGTAATATTCCTATGCAGTACTGAAAAACTAAATGATGTGCATTAAAATGCTTATTCAGAACCTACAATATATAGCAGGACATTTAAATTATTGCATGGGTGCGCATGGGAAAGGTTTCTCTGGCCTGCTCTCATTTTGTTTTTCTAAAGGTGGCATTTTCTACAGAAGCAATTACATCATTTCAGTACATTAAGCCACTCTCTATCAAATACCAAGCATTTCAAGTGGTTGAGTGAGAATGACCTTTACAGTTCATTTTTAAGTGAACTTATGGCTGGTGAAAGATAGAGTCTGACAGCAGTTGAATGCTACCCAAGGAACAGGTATAAGGCACAGGCCAGACAACTTTCCCCTCACTACCCTGCCAATGCATCTCAATGTTAACATTAAAAAAAAAAAATCAGGTCTGGGAGTGAAAGAATAATTTCACTTTAGCTTCCTTCTCTCTGCTTTTGAGGTCTGTTAAATGCATAATCTAAAATGCCATGACACTCCTTTATTTTAAAAGAACAAATTTAATTTACACATTAGGGGATCATTTGTATCTCTTCTCAGTAACTTACAAATAAAACAAAGTGAATCTTACATGTAATTTTGAGCTATCCCCCGGATACATTTGTAGCAATTCTTTATCTCCCAGATTCTGCAACCTCTCTATCAATTCCTTTCCCCAAGGAAAGCTGTAGTACAAGTTAACTCCTCTTCTTCCCTCTTCATCCTGAAAGTCGCTGCTGATGAAGTTAGATGGACCTATTGCAAACTGAAAACAAGAGGTGGTTTAAAAAGGAAGTCCATCTACTGAGCATCTTAATTGAATTGCAATCTTTAAAAAGGGGGAGGGAGGAAAAGAAAAATGAATGGACCTCTAACCCTTCATGAAAAATAGACATTATAATTCATAGTGCAAAGTGTTACCTCAGATGCAACACCCTAATCTTAAAGTTACTTAAGAAAATGAAAATTTTAATTTGGCTAAATCACATCAACATCTGCTTGGCAGCATTGTTATGCACTTGGAAATAGCTTTTTACCCCAAGAGTGGCTGCATTTCAGCCGTGAATATGTGCCAATATCATTATGCTGTAAACATAAAGCTGTGCTCTTTACCCCCCCCCCCCCCCAAAAAGATAGAAAGTTTTTGCAATATTTAATCTTAAAAAAGAAACAAATACCATATTTACCTTTCTCCACCACTGGAGCCTCTGGCGTAACCAATAATCAAGCCACTGTCCTATAGTTCTGGCGGAGCTAAACCACACAAGGGAAGACATTGTCCTTTCGCCTGTTCTTTAAACAATAGCAAGGTGAGCAAGTTAACTCCTTTAAAAAAACAACAAGGGAAAAGCAAGAGACATCATTCAAAAATGTAATCCAGAAGTAAAAGAAGTCAGCATTCTTTTAATTATAAAAAGAAATCTGTCAGTTGCCATTACTGTACCTTGTGATGCTCTCATCTGGA